GTCAACCCTGATGTGGAGGAAGTTTTTACTTCTGAAGCTGACTATGTTTTTTATAGGTCAGTGACCTTTGGTCTGAACAGATCAAGGAAGATTAAATTGCTGCTGACATGAGCCCTTTCACTGTTGAATATCATGGAACCTCTTATATTATGATGAATATTATAATATTATCTAATAATATTGAATTTTGCCGTAATGATGCAGAACCTGTAAGCTGCATGAGGAGAAGGTAAAGACCATGGATGATCTCCTGAGGAGGAGAGAGCTGTCTGTGAAGACCATGGAAGACACGTTTGACCAGAAACTGAAGAGCGAGTTAGCGAAGTAAGTGATTAACTCAATTTCTGTCCAGTCTTTAATGATTGTTATTCAGGAGTCCTGCAGGTGGCGCTCTTGCGACTCAAGTTGCAATCCATGATGAAAGATGAACTTTCATTTTCTAGATAAAATATGCTACTGTTGAAAAGTTTGGAGCCAGTAAGATTTATTTTTAAAGAAATTAATACTTTTATTTATTAAGGATGCATTAAATTGATTAAAAAGGACAGTAAAGACATTTATAATGTTACAAAAGATTTCTATTTCAAATAAATGCTGTTCTTTTAAACATTCTATTCATCAAAACAATCCTTAAAGATCAAATGTATCACGGTTTCCACAGAAATATTGTGCAGCACGACTGTGTTCAACATTGATAATAATCAGAAATGTTTCTCGAGCAGCAGATCAGCATATTATACTGATTTCTGAAGATCATGTGACACTGAAGACTGGAGGAATGATGCTGAAAATACAGCTGCGCATCACAGAAATACATTACAGTTTAACACATATTCACACAGAAAACAGCTGTTTTAAACTGTAATGTTTTTCATCAAATAAAAACATTAAAAATCTGACCGACCCCAAACTTTTGGCATTGTGTGTTTTTGTAAAGTGAAACAGTAAACGAATGTACAGTTGAGTCATATTTATAGACGTCATCATAAACTGTTTTAGATATCAGCTGGAGCTGAAGGAGGATTACGCGAAGAGAAGCGAGAAACTGACAGAAAATGAGAAAAGGATTAAAGGTCTGTGTTTAGAAAAGTCCAATATAACTGCTACAGTATACAGTATTTTATTGATCTTTACTGTAAAGTTATTCTTACATTTGCAGAAGAAACGGTTCGTCTGCAGAAAGAATCTGCTGTTATTGATGCAAAAGCAGAAGAGCACGAGAGAAGTTTATCAGAAGTTAAACGTCTGCTGGTAAAACAGACATACTGTTCCATTTCTGCTCCCATAATCCAGCTGTACTAAAATAATGCATGGATCTTTTCCTTTTAAGTTGCTTTATGCCTCTGTTGAGTTCTCTCTCCTGAAAGGTTCATTCTCAGGAATGAAATGGTGTTGTTCATATGTTATGTAGATGGAGCTGGAGTCGTCCAGATCGCAGGCGTCTCTTCTGGCCCAACAGAACGAGCTGCTGCGAGAGAGACTGGAGAACATGAGCGACTATCCAGCGCTGAAGAGAGACACTCAGGAGCTGCAGACGCACATCAGACTGCTGAAACAACAGCTGGAGGAGAAGCGGCAGGAGAAGCAGAGACTCAGACAAGGTGAAGCTCAGTTTCCTCTCTACCTTCCCATCTGTGGGTTTAGTTTCCCAGTTCTGTTGATAAGCATTATTACAGGAACAACCCCGCTAAATTATCATAACTAGGGCGGGCTAATAAATATCGATCATCTTATTGATGCATCTTAAATACTATTCAAAATTTGAAAAAAATTATGAAAGGAGACTCTTCTGCTCACCAAAGCTGCATTTATTTGATCAAAAATGTTGTAAAATATGTGAAATATTTTTACAATTTAAAATAGCCTTTTTCTATATGAAAATATTGTAAATTGTAATTTATTTGTCTGATTCGAAGCTGAATTTTCGTACTTTTGTGGAAACCGTGATTCATTTTATTTTTCAGGATTCTTTGATGAAAGTTCAAAAGAACAGTATTTATTTGAAATGGAAATCTTTATTGACATAAGCTTGTGTTGTTTAACTTCTCAACTTATAAAATTTCTAAATCTTTTTAAAAATGTACAAAATAATATATATACAGTATATAATAAAAATGTGTAAACCTTTACATTTTTTAAAAGATTTAGAAATTTTAGTGGAGTGTAAGTTTAAAAACAACTTTCCACAAGCTTATTGCTTATTCTCACACTGTTTGTTTATGCTTTGAAAGAGATTTAGTTTTTTTTTATATGAATTGTTAAACCAACATTATTCCAACCCTCATAATCGATTCCATTTATCAATAATGTTTCGGCCGGATTGGGATGGAAAAACTTCTTCCCCTTTGTATGTCTGTCTATTCTGAGGAGGAATAAAACTAACAACAAACATTTGCAGACTAAATATGCAAAAATAAGCACGGTATGAGTTCTGGGAAACTATAAGATGCTGTTCTTGAAATCAAGTTTGAGTAGTTCAGCCTGAAATCTAACGGGGTCAAACAGGGATAACAAACAGAGAAGTGGTCTGTTTGGATGTGCTCTGCTTGTTAATTTGGCCCTTTTGGCTGCAATTGTGCATTTGCTGGGAAAAAGAGGAGTGCAGGGGGGTGAAGGACAGAGAAACGCTTCAGAGTTTGGCCTGTTCAACAAACACACTGTTCCTCTGTAACACTGCAGGATACTCACTGCATGAACCTCTTTCTTGCTTTTTGCATTATGAGCTTAAATTGGATGCACAAAAAAGGCAGATTTTTGCTGTTTGTCTGAACAAAGCCAAAACAAAAGTTGGGCTCAGGTTTGAAGACTAAGAACACGTGTAATGTGTAACAGGTTTGTGCTTCTCGTTTAGAGCTCAGCGCGCCGTCTAAGGAGCAGCTGGCGCTGCAGGCCGAGCTCAGGAGACTGGAGACGGCACGCAAACTAGACGAGGACGACTTTGAGACGCAGAAAAACGTCTTACACACACAGCTGCAGCACGAGGTCTGTCCCAACGGGATCTAGAGCTTCTGCTGGCATGCTTCTCAGTCTGCATTCCCTTAGTTAAGAAACATGATGTGTTGAGCACTTGACTGTATTTCACTTTAGGTTTAAAGGGTGAATCTCACTAAATCCATCAAGAATATGACCTTCAAAAGCACAAGAAAGAAAGAAAAAATTATATTACTTTTTAATATATTTTTATGTTATTGTTATTAGTATTATTATAGTAATATTTACTCAAGTGTAAGATTCAGATGAATTACAAAAGAAAATTGGGGGGAAATCATATTACATTTTTAATAAGTTTTAATATTTGATTAAAGTAATGATAATAATCAGATACACGTGTATTACAATACTGAGAATTTTGGGGGAAGTGTGCTTAATTATACAAAATAAATCAATACAAATTAAAATTAAACATTATATAATATCACCTTTAAAACCAAAGAAACAAATAAGAAATCAAAATACATCTTCAGTACATAATAATAATAATATTTACTCAAAAATAAAGCATTTAGATTTAGAAGAATTACAATAATGAGAATTTTGGGGGAAGTGATATTACATTTTAAATACATTTTAATAATAATATAGTATTAATAACAATAACAACAATTCTTACTATTATTGTTATTTATCTTATTATTATTGTTATTATGAATACATCTGTTTATATTAGTGATAATAATAACAATGTGAAACATTCAGATGTATTACAATAATGATAATTTTAGGGAAATGCTGGTAAAGTTGTATTACATTTTTGTATATTTTATATTACATTGTAATGGTAATAACAACAAATATTATTTAAAAGTAAAACATTCAGAAGCATTGCAAAAAAATTTGGGGGGTGGGGTTGTACAAAAATATATATTTCATTTTATTTCTTGAATGTGACTTAGATATGTTTTGCCCAAATGCATTTTCCTCTTCAACTCTCCTATCTCAGATTGTCTTCTTTCATTTCTTTGTTTCCTGACTGTAGGTGCAGCAGTGTGCGCTGTTGAAGGCTCAGCTGATGGAGTGTGACGAGCGGGTGAAGTGGATGAACACTCACGCTGAAGAGCTCAAGCTCCAGCTCCAGCAGACACAACAAGGTGCACGCAGCAGGCTAGCGGCGATTGAATCTCTACCGTAGAGTCTGTAGAGTTCCAGTCTGATTTTCTGAAACCTCTAGAATGAATCTGTGAGCTCATGCTGTGTTCAGTTCAAAGATGTGGGATGTTGATGTAAATGTTTCTCACTTATGTTCCTGGGTGCCTCCATGTTCACATGACGCTATACGATCATATCTCTGCTAAACTGGAGTTTGAGGGTTGGAAGTCTGACTTCAATTCTATGCGCTTTTCCAAGTTGGACGTTGGAAATTCCTCATATTTAGTGGAACGCAGCATCAGCCATTTACATGTTAGATTATTTTGTAAGTTTGATGGTTTCATTGAATCAGACATTTAGCATCTTTTCATATTCTGTGAATGCCTTTCATACGAATTTGCAAGCTAAAAACTTGCAAACGTGTATTTATTTCATGCAGGGTTCCCCCAGCCATCAAAAGCCTGGACATTTTAATACATTTCTTTAGTGAATATACATTTCTCTAGCTATGTTTAGTAACTTAACATTTGTAAACAAATGTTACCCTGGAGCACAAAACCAGTCTGAAGTCGCTGGGGTATATTTTTAGTAATAACCAAAAAAACATTGTGGGTTTTTTGGGTCAAAATTATCGATTTTTTTTTATGCCAAAAATCATTAGGATATTAAGTAAAGATCATGTTCCATGAAGATATTTTGTAAATTTCCTACCGTATATATATCAAAACTTAATTTTTGATTAGTAATATGCATTGCTAAGAACTTCATTTGAACAACTTTAAAGATGATTTTCTCAATATTTAGATTTTTTTTGCACCCTCGGATTCCAGATTTTCAAATAGTTGTATCTCAGCCAAATATTGTCCCATCCTAACAAACCATACATCAATGGAAAACTTATTTATTCAGCTGACCCTTATGACTGAGGTTTTGTGGTCCAGGGTCACAAATCATTCTTTTTAATAAGTTATTTTCAATGAGTCATTCAAACCACTTCACAGATTTTCCTGAATGACTGAATGAATATTATTAATGGATTCATTTGGGAATCATTCTTTTTTAGTAAGTTACATTTTTTAGTAAGTTTAGTAATAGAAATTCTGAGTTAGACATAAACCTAAAATCAGAAATTAAACATTTAATTTTCTCAGAAACTGAATGGTAAATAATAGTTTATTTTCCATCCAGTTTCTGAGAAAATTAAATGTTTAATTTCTGATTTTAGGTTTATATCTAACTCCGATTATAACAATAATCTGATTATAATAATAACATTATTATTCTGAATGATTCTTTGGTGAATCATTCTTTTTAGTTTGTATCAACACAGTAAATCATTCAAACCAAATCATTCAAACAAATCATTATTTTTTAGTAATGAATTTGTATTTCAAAAGAATTCACAAATCATTTGGAATCAGTCCAAATTCATTTTCCAGTAATCTCAAACAGGCAGGAAGGTCATGTTTGTGGGAACCCTGTTATTTCATCAGTGCTTGGTGGTTTTGGCTTTCCTCTCTCTAAACTCTTTCTCTCTCCTCTCTTCTATTTGCTGTGTTGTTCCGTGATCGGAACAGCTCTGGAGAACGAGATCCTCCGCAATCCCATGCCTTCCCTGGTAGAGCATTCTGTTCTCAGTTTGATTCCTGACAGGCTGCTTCCTCCTGACGTTTACATAGACGCCACTCTGCTCCGAAAGCCCAGAGCCGCTTCTGACGCTGATTTATCTGAAGCAGGGCTGGCCCTCAGGGGCCCGTGGCCCGCGGAGCGCGACTCCGAGCTGGTGAGCAACGCTCTGGCCCGGATACGAGAGCTGGAGCAGGAGGCCGAGCGTCTGGAGGATGCTTACAGGAGCCACCAGCACAGAGCCACTCGAGCATCTGCTGAAGATCTCACGCCTCCCAGAGTGACCTATAGAGCACAGCCCAGGGTGAGCTTCACTTCTGCAGGATGTCCTGTCGAGCAGGAATTCACCAGAACTCCTTCTCCGAGAGAGAGAAACCCGCTGAGACTCATCTCTCCTCCAGCCAGACGTCTGTCCTCCACACCACTGAGCAAACGCAGAGCAGACGCTGATCACGATGCTCACACTATCACGCAAGGTCTGTAAAATCTGTTTCTGGTAGTAATGCACTAGCATTTTGGCAAACAAAAATATTTGGCTAAAAATTTATTTTTGGTTTTCGCTGAAACTGTTTTGCAGGGCAGAAATCAGTGAGCAAACAGTCGGATTTTATTAGCACTACTCCAATGGCACATTTTGACAGTGTCACACTGTTAAAGTTCCACCAACTTTTTTTTTTTAAAGTATAATCAAATAGGCTGTACAAGTCATTTCAACCTAAATTATATCAAACTGACTTAGAAAATTGAGTTGAATCACATTTAACTTAAAAATATGAATTTATCTACTGGGGTGCCTCAGGGCTCAGTTCTTGGACCACTTCTCTTCTCTGTCTACATGGCATCACTAGGTTCTCTCATTCAGAAACATGGCTTTTCATATCACTGCTATGCTGATGACACTCAACTCTACCTCTCATTCCATCCTGATGATCCGACGATAGCTGCTCGCATCTCAGCTTGTCTAACTGACATTTCTTGCTGGATGAAGGACCATCACCTTCAACTCAACCTTGCCAAGACAGAACTGCTTGTGGTTCCATCAAACCCATCGTTTCATCACAATTTCACCATCCAGTTAGACACATCAACCATAACTCCTTCAAAAACAGCCAGAAACCTTGGAGTTATGATTGTTGATCAGCTGACTTTCTCAGACCACATTGCTAAAACTGCCCGGTCCTGCAGATTTGCTTTATTCAACATACAGAAGATCAGGCCCTTTCTTTCGGAACGTGCTTCTCAACTCCTTGTTCAAGCTCTTGTTCTGTCCAGGCTGGACTATTGCAATGCTCTCTTGGCAGGTCTTCCAGCCACTTCTATCAAACCTTTACAATTAATCCAGAACGCGGCAGCAAGATTAATCTTTAATGAGCCGAAAAGAATGCATGTCACACCTCTGTTTATCAATTTGCACTGGCTACCAGTAGCTGCTCGCATAAAATTCAAGACATTAAAGGGTTAGTTCACCCAAAAATTAAAATTAGCCCATAAATTACTCCCCCTCAATGCATCCTAGGTGTATATGACTTTCTTCTTTCAGACGAATCCAGTCGGAGTTATATAAAAAAATTGTTTTTGATCTTTCAAGCTGTTTAATGCCATTCAGCGGGTGTTGCATTGCTTCAGTCCAAAAGAAGTGAAATAAAAAGCACCCATCCATAAAAAAAAAAGTGTCGCACACGACTCCGGGGGGTGAACAAAGGCCTCCTGTAGCGATGCGTTTTTGTAAGAAAAATAATCATATTTAAAACTTAATAATCAATTTAATCTAGCTTGCGCTCACTGTTGTAAACGGAAGTCAGTTTGTATAATTAATCATTCATGCCACAAATCATTCTGAATGATTCTTTTGTGAAGTCAGTTTATATTAATAACTAATAATGACTATAATGATTCATAAAAAAAGTTATGAGTAAATAAAGTTAGTAAGTTAATGAACTGGCTTAAATGAATGATTCACAAATGATTTGTGAAATGGTTTGAATGATTCATTAATAGAAACCGACTAATAGGAACTATTTGCAAATGAATAATTCAGAATGATTTGTGAAGTGGTTAGTATAGCAAACAATATTGTACTGGATAGCATATTCTGTCATTATTTTGAAAATGATATTTTCTAAATAAATGTAATCCGTGACAATATTATTTAGAAAATTTTAATACATTTTCGTTTGAATTTCAAATTTTTAAAATGCATGGAGTCAGGGAAACTGTGAAAGTGTATCAAACATAATCCTGTATTTAAGTATTGCATTTTTAATGAACTCTCTGGGTTTGGCGTTTATAGATCCATATGAGCTACAGTGCCTCCATATAATAATCCACCAGTTATTTGGCAACACAAACTAATTGGCACACAAAGTCAGAATGTAACAAAATGTGTAGGAAGCCTTTAAAACCAGTGTTTCTGTGTGTTTTGTCCCAGAGCGTCGGAGGACGAGTCCTGACTCTGACAGAGCGCCGCTGGTGTTCCCAGAGAGGCAGATCTCACCGATCCCTGCTGGAGAAAGCCTCTGCTCCATCAGTCCTCTCAGCAGCCCCAGGATGAAGAGCACCACTCGCCACAGCCGCAGGTCACACGCTATTACAGTAGCTTTTTACCCCCTGCATACCCCCTTTACCTTTACCCCCTGCCACTGACTTCAAGCTCATCGTTTACCTTTATAAGAGCAATTTTTAGAGCTATTCGTGTTGTCCTGTAATTGTTCAGTTACTTCATTTAATCAGAATACTATAGACCAATAAAATGTGTTCAACATCAACAAAAGCTTTTTTACACTGCAAAGGTGGAACAATAGCTTTTATTCATAAATCAACAGAAACGTGTGATTGGTTGTAATGCTGAACACTCAAAAAAAAAAGCATGTTAATGCAAAATAATGCATGAAACAATCTTTGATGCAACATGAGCAGATCTAAATGTAATTCCACAATAGACACTTTCAATTCATTTTCACATTTCACTTTAATCACAAAAGCTGTAATATATTTGAGCTTTTTCCCCCCTTATTTATTTATTTTTTTCATTTTAGTGGCATGTTTGCCTTAAGCCAAGCTTAAAACAATTCTAAAAAAAAAATGCAAGTTTAAGAAATCATAGCTATGAATCTGAGATTTAAATTAATTCATACATACAGACAGTTTAAACTGATTCACAGGAATGAGTCAAATTAATCAAACTTCTCTGTCTGAACACTCTCATACTCACAAGACAATCATGGTCATCATTAGGAAAAGTGATGGACAAATGTGCATTAAAATGTACTTATTTCTATTGTAACTCTCTTTTGACTTCACAGTCCACCCAAACTGCAGGAAGTCATCTCCAGTTCCTCTGAAGAGTCGTCACCTCAGCCGGAGAAGATCACGCTTCACGATCTCACCGACCCTGTGCCACGTACACACTCGTTTCTATTACCTCAACTCAGTTTATATGGAGAATTAATCAGAATTCAGGAAATAGTAGAGTTTAAAAATGCCCTGGAAAAGTCACTACTATTCAAAAGTTTGATGTCAGTAAGATTTATTTGAAAAGAAATGAATCATCTCTTTAGAAGTAATGACATTTTAGTAGTTTTGCTCTTCTCGTATCTTTGATCTGCTATACATCACAAGATCTGCAGAAAATAAAGTTGATCTGGTGTGTGTTCAGTGCTGTCTGTGGATCAGGAGTGTGTCCTAGAGAATCTCCAGGAGTCACACACAGGTGAGACGATCATGTGACTGATCATGTGACGCTCTTCATCTGTTTGTGTCTCATGTGTTTGTGTGTTGTGCTTCAGATGAACATGACACAGCTGTAAAGATAGAGGAGGAGGAGGAGGAGAGGAAGAGGAGAGAGGAGAGGAGGAAGAGGGAGAGAGAGGAGGCGCAGGAGAGAGAGGAGCGAGAGCTGCAGAGACTCCAACAGGAGCTGGTCAGACTCATTAACATACTAGTATATGGAAGCATATGGGTAGCACATTTCATTTTGAAATGTAATATGCAAAATGACAATGCAATATGTAAAATGGTGATGTATTTCTGTATTTAAATTTACATTTTCCCATACATATGTGCAACATTTAGTGCAAAATGAAAATGAAAATTCAATTATATAATTTACATTTGCCATTTCCTACACTAGTTTTAATATGTAAGTCAAAAACATATTTTAATGCTTTATAAGTTGCCAAATTAAAATGAAATTGTATTACCCTAATTGATTAGATACGTTTAACATGTCCAAGCAAAAACTGTAGCAAAATTATCATTTAAATGCTATTTTTCCTAAATGCATTTAGACTAGGACACTTGAGATTGCATTTTCATCGTGATATCGCGTGATAATTGTTGCAAAATGCAGTGTGAATTTCAAAAAGCATTCTGAGCCAAATGTGCAGCAGAAGGGTAGCAAAATGGTGATTCAAATGTCTTTTATTTTTTGTAAATGCATTGGCACTTACACTTAAGACGTTTCAATTGCATTTTCATTAAATACCCCGCCATAATGTAGTTTAAGTCTATGTGGATTTGAACATCATTCCGAGCCGATCACACCCCCGACCTGTCAATCATTACATCAAGGCGGGGCTCAGCAACAAGACACACGATAGCTCAATATTCCCCATCAACCAAACGCTTTTCACCTGCCTCAACATCTCACTGTTTTACACTCAGATTGACCCGCCTCCATTTCATATTTCAAGAACACTCATTATTTCCTACTTTGAGCACTGCACATTTCAAAATTAAAATGCAGCGCGGGTGTTTTTATATGAATGTAAAATTGAAAAGAACAGACCGTTTTCAGAAAAGCTTTGACGTCATTTTCATTTCGTCTTTGCTAGCGTTTTGTATTAGATTACAGCCGTTACCGTGGAAACCGCTATATCTCTGCTCCAACAGCGCCTCCTGCTGGCAGAGAATGAATTTGCATTGAAACGCTGGGAAACGCTGGTGTCTGTCAGCAAACATAAACAAAAAGCATGCTTCAGAACTGTTTTGAGAAGGTGCTTTGAGCCATGTATTATTACTCTGAATTAGGCTACTACTACTATTACCATTACCATGTGCCCTGCAATAATCATTTACTCAAACTCGCTTTTATGAGATAAAGGGAAAAAAATCGGCCAAACATATCGGGCAAAAAAAATCAGCATCATATATCGGCCACCGGCTGCCCTGATTTCTAAATATCGGCATCGGCCAGAGAAAAACCCTTATCGGTCGATCTCTATTGCTGACACTTAAATTAATTGTTTTGCCACTTTTGCATGTATATTTGTTATGCATGTTATGTAGCCTATGTTTATTAAAAACAAGTTTTGTAATAACCAATTGTTCCGGTCCGGACCTTTGACACTGATGAAAATTCAGATTTGGACCTTTGAATGTACTTTGAGAACCCCTGGTTTATATATATATATTAGGGCTGTCAGTTTAGCGTGTTAACTTAATTAATTAGTTACAATAAAATGTTTTAACGCACTGGCCCCGCTCCCAGACCTGTACATCATCTTACATTTCTTACAGTTGACTTGACAAATATGATGCAGGGCAACAACTCCATAAATGCAGTTATGCCCTAAAATTCAAGTTATTGGTGCAAAAAATGGCCCTTTGTGTTTTTGTTTCATATTTATATCATACGATATCAATATCACCGTTTGAACGAATCGTGTGAACAAATGACTCAAAAACCCATTCATAAAGAGAGCCGTTTACTTCATTCCTGAATGAATCAGCCGTTTGAACGAATCGACTGAAGACATTTACCACCACCTGCTGGCAGATTTAGTTTCTTATTTAGAGTATCATTTAATTAATAATAATAACAATAATAATAATAAAAACATTAAAGGGATGGTTCACCCAAAAAATGTTAATTCTGTCATCATTTACTCACTCTCGTCGTTTCAAACCTTTCTTTTGTGGAACGTAAAGGAAGGTATTTTGAAGACTGTTGGTAACAAAGCTGTTTTGGTTGCCAGTGACTTTCATTGTATGAACAAAAAATACTGAGATGTTTCTCAAATTATCTTCTTTTATGTTCCATAGTTTATGTTAGGCCGTTTTAGCCTAAATGTGTTTTTGTTGAATCAAATACAATATTTCTAAAGCTACAATTTGTAATGTCTACTTGATACTTTCTCATTTAACAAAAATATCTTTAAATAACCTTTTGTGAGTATTTTCACAGTCAAATTTATTTTGCGATTAATTCAATTAATTAAAGAGGTCATATGATGCGATTTCAGTTGTTCCTTTCTCTTTGGAGTGTTACAAGCTCTTGGTGCATAAAGAAGATCTGTAAAGTTGCAAAGACTAAAGTCTCAAATCCAAAGAGATATTCTTTATAAAAGTTAAGAGTCAGCCACGCCTACCTAAAACACCTCGTTCTAACACGCCCCCACATATCTACCTCACTATGTGGGAAGATTTGCATAACGCCGCCCAAATGTTCACGCAAAGAAAGAAGCATAACTTTTATTCTCGCTGTAGTATTGTTGTTGCCGCCGCCGTCATGTCGTGAAGACGCTGTGTGCTTCGTTGTGAAAGCGAAACTACTTTGTTTTTTCTTCCAAAAGAGGACACGACTAGAAATCAGTGGTTAAGTTGTATTTACAACACTGTTCCAGAACACTTCAACCCAAATATTCAGATGTGTGCAGCGCATTTTATGGAGGACTGGAAGAGTAGACTACAATGCGTCTGTGCACAAAGGTTGTTTCTATAAAGTGGGACAATTCCAACTTTGCAAGGACAGTCTTCTGACTCACAGACTGTAAGTACGTTTTCATATTTAAAGGATTTGCCACTGATGATTCAAACATGAGTTTTGGGCAGTGTAGAGTAGCGCATGTTGTTTGTCGTTTCTCCGATCACAAATGCAGACATGGTTTTATGTTTACGCGGCAAATGATTGCATCACAATAATTACAATTGAATGAGAATTACAAAACCACCCTTCCATAAGCATGAAATGAATGCATTTGGAGGCTTCATGTTTCGTCATTATGCATGCGTGCATGTTTGTTGGTAATAGTTCTGGGCTGGATCTGTGGAGTTAAGAACTGGTCATGTGAGGTAGTGTGAAAACCTGCTCATCATGAGCGCTTCTGACCTGCAGACAAACACCATCAGCATTCCTGCAGTATCCCACGATGCAATGTGCTCAACCCACGGCCACACGGCAAGACATTTGGACACAAAACAGAATTTAAAAATACAATTAAAAAAAAAAAGTGTTTCCAAGAAGAATATTTGGATGCTATGGAAGTCTGTTTCCACCACGAAATAAAAAGAATAATAAAGTAATATCATTAAAAAAAGCTCATTGTGACTGACTTTTCAAAAGTTTCTCACAATTCAGTTTTTTTCCCCGTCACATAATGAAAAAATAAAAACGTAACTGCATTTTTTTATTTCACAATTCAGACTTTTTTTCTCAGAATTGCACATTTGCAACTCAGACTTTATATCACAATTTTTTCTCAGAAATATAAATGATATCTGAAGGGTTTTTCTCAATTGCGAGTGTATATCGCAAGTTATACACTCATAACTGCAGGTTTTCATATCACAATTCAGACTTTTATTTCGCTATTTTAATTGTTTTTCTCAAAATTAAGACTTTCTCTCTCTCAATTGATATTTTCTCAAAGTTCTGACATTGATCTCAGAACTATTAATTTTATCTTGAAATTCTGACTTTTTTCTCAATTTCAACTTTTTCTCAAAATGTGGACTTCTCTCAGCTTTTATCTTGGAATCCTGACTATCTCGCAATTTCAACTTTTTTTCTCAGAATTATGAAATATATTTTGCAATTCTAAGTTTTTATTTTTCAATTTGGACTTTTTTCCTCAAGATTCATTTTTTTCTCAATGACATATCTATTTTTTTACTTGTAATTTTGACTTTATATCTTGCAGTTTTGAGTTTATATCTCACAATTTTTACTTTTTCTCAAAATTCTGACTTTTTTTTCAGAATTACAAATTATATCTTGAGTTTTTTTCCTCACAAGTGTATATTGCAAGTTATGAACTCACAATTTCAAGTTTGCATCTCACAATTCTGACAAATCTCACAAATTTTTGTTGTTGCTACAGGAAAAAAGGTCATGCTTTTTAACATTTTTTTTTAATCTCACACTTCTGACATTTTTCTCTTCATTGCGAGTTCATACCTCACAATTTGGACATTTTTCTCAGAATTGCAAGAAAGTAGTCAGAATTATGAGACAAAAGTCACTTTTTTTATCCTGCGTCAGAAACAAGCTTCCATCAGATGCCACTTGCAGAAACAAACATGCAAAATCTCGTTGCATAATGTATTCTGTTCACATACTATTTCCAGCACATATTGCACATGAACAAATCCAAACATTCAAAGACAACCAGCCGAATTTAGTTCAGAAGAATCCTTCGATTATTTCTCTTCAAAATAATATCATTAAAACAAATAAAAACTGGGAATGTTTTCAAATTTTGAGAGGATGCAAAACATGTTTATAATGCAAGTGCATGTTATTTTTCATAAAAAAGCATAACATGTAACGTCAAATAATCATGCACTTAGTTTCATGTTTATGATGTTTTAAGGCAAATCTCATCTGGGTACGAACAGAATCTGATTTGCAGTTACATTAACATTTAGTCATTTTGCAGACACTTTTATCCAAAGCGACTTACAATTGGGGAATACATAAAGCGATTTGCATTTCCAATAGTGCAACGTTTGAGATTCACAAAGGGCTGAGAGGAAAGCGTGAGCGTGAAGGAGGGATGGATGCGCAGACTGCGGGTTAGTGAGTTAGAGCTGGTTAGTGGTTGGTTGGTTGGTTGGTTGGCAGTGTTAACCCTCCTTACGAGTAGGAGTTGAGGCACTCTTTGGAGCGTGACTGGATGTCCTGCAGCTCCCGCTCCTCCTTCATTTTGATGTCTTGGTACGCATGCAAGTGACTGGCATCCTTTAGGTAGGCCCAGTTTGCAGAAAGGATCATTAGGTAATGGATCTGTAAGAGAGGGCGAGGTGATGCCCGTCAGCAAGTTAACAGCCACAGAGCCACAGCTCAACTACTGTACGACACACACACACACACACTCTCACACACACACACTCTCACTCACACACACACACTCACTCACTCACATGCACTCACTCACACACTCGCACGCACTCTCGCACGCACACTCACTCACTCTCACACTGATACACACACACACACACACTCACTCACTCACTCACTCTCACATGCACTCACTCACACACTCGCACGCACTCTCACACGCACACTCACACACACACTCACTCTCACACTGATACACACACACACACACTCTCACTCACTCACTCTCACATGCACTCACTCACACACTCGCACGCACTCTCACACGCACTCGCTCTCACACTGACACACACACACTCTCACACGCACACACTCACTCACACACTCGCACGCACTCTCACTCACACTCACTCTCTCACACGCACACACTCACTCACACACTCGCACGCACTCACACGCACACTCTCTCACACGCACACTCTCTCACCCACACACTCACACTCTCACACGCACACTCACTCACACGCACACTCACTCTCACACGCACTCTCACACGCACACTCACTCTCTCACTCGCACACTCACTCACACACTCACACTCACACTCACTCACTCGCACACTCACTCACACACTCGCACGCACTCTCACTCACACTCACTCTCTCACACGCACACACTCACTCACACACTCGCACGCACTCTCACACGCACACTCTCTCACACGCACACTCTCTCACCCACACACTCACTCGCACACTCACACTCTCACACGCACACTCACACTCTCACACGCACACTCACTCACACGCACACTCACTCTCACACGCACTCTCACACGCACACTCACTCTCTCACTCGCACACTCACTCACACACTCACACTCACACTCACTCACTCGCACACTCACTCACACACTCGCACGCACTCTCACTCACACTCACTCTCTCACACGCACACACTCACTCACACACTCGCACGCACTCTCACACGCACACTCTCTCACACGCACACTCTCTCACCCACACACTCACTCGCACACTCACACTCTCACACGCACACTCACACTCTCACACGCACACTCACTCACACGCACACTCACTCTCACACGCACTCTCACACGCACACTCACTCTCTCACTCGCACACTCACTCACACACTCACACTCACACTCACTCACTCGCACACTCACTCACACACTCGCACGCACTCTCACTCACACTCACTCTCTCACACGCACACACTCACTCACACACTCGCACGCACTCTCACACGCACACTCTCTCACACGCACACTCTCTCACCCACACACTCACTCGCACACTCACACTCTCACACGCACACTCACACTCTCACACGCACACTCACTCACACGCACACTCACTCACTCACACACACACACTCTCACACACACACTCGCACGCACACACTCGCACGCACACACTCGCACGCACACTCACACGCACACTCACTCTCTCACTCGCACACTCACTCACACACTCACACTCACACTCACTCACTCGCACACTCACTCACACACTCTCACACACTCGCACGCACTCGCACGCACTCTCTCACACACACACACACACACACTCATTATAAAGGAATAACTCATCCGTAAATGAACATATACTCGCCCTCATGTCGTTTCAGACTTGTGTGCTGTTATTTTTTAGACAGATGCAATATATTTTTACATTTCCGTTTTAAATAAACAATAGTGAAAAGTTAAAACTTTTAAAGCTGGTTGCCTATAACTCAATGTACTAAAAAAAACTAAAACTTAATTTAATTAAATAATAATAAAAACTAAAAATAAGAAATGAAATAAGAAATACACATTTATAAAAAAACTAACATAAAAACAAAAACAAAAAAAACTATTAAAAATTACTATAATTTTTTATTTCCCATTACTTTTACTTCTTATTTCTAATTTTCATAACTTTATTTAATTTCATTTCTATTTTAGTTTAGTACATCAAGTAAAAAAAAACACGAGAAATGTCTTGAAAACTAGCTGAAATAAAACAAAACTTTATTTAAATCTAAAAATTATTTTATTTCAAGTAACATTACATAATAAAGATTACATAATAGTTTAACTTGATGTAATAAAGTAACTAAAACAAAATAAGAAAAACCAGAAGAAATACAAATTAATAAAAACAAAAAAAACTATATAAATGAAAAAAACATACATTTCGATTTCTTCATTTATATTTTTAAAAAGTTTGAGTTTTGTTGTGTTTGTCACTTTTATTTGTTTTCTTTTTTAATAACATTTATTTTTCTAGTTTTTATTATAATTTTTAATAGTTATTTTAGTATGTCAAGTTACACTAAATGAAAATGAGCAATGTTGCCTTGGCAACTAGCTAAATAAAACACCTTTATAATATTTTATTTCATTTCAGCTAAAGTTTATTTTTTTATTTTATTTTATTTTTTTGTTAACTATAACAACCCTGGTTCATACTTATCCAACTATAATAAAGAGCTGTGTGATCATACAGTTTGTGATGAAAAAACAAAAATAGTTTTGTAGTAATTGTAATAACGTGAGACTTTTGCTACTTATAAAGTCATCATAACTAAAGTTTATTTTTTTATTTTATTTTAATTTTTTTTGTTAACTATAACAACCCTGGTTCATACTTATCCGACTATAATAAAGAGCTGTGTGATCATACAGTTTGTGATGAAAAAACAAAAATAGTTTTGTAGTAATTGTAATAACGTGAGACTTTTGCTACTTATAAAGTCATCATAATTTAATATTCACAGGGTTTTTGGAGTGAATTTAAGAATGTGAATGGTCTTGCTACAAATACAATAATAAACATCTTGAATTCAAAAACAAAAAAGTAAAAAAGTGTCATAACAGTTGCACATAAGACTTGTACATTATATTCCATGTCTTCTGAAGTCATATGATGATGTTTTGAGCAATTTAAATGCTGAAACTGAATTTGTTATGCACTACATGTGCTCACTATGAATGGAAAAGAGCTCCTTTTGTGTTGCAGCACAGTCAATAATAACAGCACAGGCTTTGAAACAACATGAGAGTGAGTAAATGTTCATTTCTAGCCAGACTATTCCTTTAGTGTACAAACAACTACAAACGAATGAACATTAATACATATTGAATACACATTCATATGCACAGGGCGCTGGGGTGTGAGGGAACGAGAGGATGTCAGCGGAGCAAAGCCAAGCTTGAAATGAGGGTTAGTATGAAAAACACGCAGCATGACACAAACTGAAACCCCAGACGAACGCTCAATAAAGACCACTGAGGATCATTTGTACACAAAGTAGGTTTATTTTTATAAAGGAAAAACTACAGGCACCACAATCCTAGAGGAATATTAAATCAATCATGTAAGATGAATGTTAAGTCAATAATGTTGGATCTGGGTGTAAAATAACT